TACCCGGATTGACGTTGTACAGCTACATACTGCGAACAGACAGTGAACGACTACAAGCTTTATCAACATGGCTAGTGACCTGAAAGCTGCAATTACTGCGAGGTATCGGGAAATCGAGAGACTCTACAATGCTGGTGATTACCAGGTCATGGCGAAAGAATGTTACACTGAGGACTGTAAATCAGTCTTCAGTGGGCATGCCATCCAGTCTGGCCATGAAAGTGAGTGTCTTTAATTTCATAATTTTCCCCGTTGTTGCAGGAATTATTATCATCTTAATATCTATATATAGATATATATTTTTCAAAACCAACTCATTGAGAGAATTTTTGCACAGTCTGATACACATTTGCAAACCTACCAAACCTACAATAAGATGTCAGAAAATCAATATAAGCACTCCTATGAACTGGGTGGCAAACTTTTATCAAGATCTGGAGCTAATAGAAAATCTGTTTAGTGCTAAGTTATCAAATCAAAACAATACATAAAAAATACACAAAAAGCAAAATGTTGCATCCACATTTTGAAAAATTGTACTCAAAAATAGGTATTCTGTATTTGACAAGTAGTTCATTCGACAAATAAAAAATCACAGAAATTTGTTTCAGCTATTAGAACAAAATGATAGAGCTTTTATGTTTAAAGGCAACCTCTCAGGAGGCAACAGTACTCTTGACTTCTCTCTCCACTGGACACCTACTAAATTATTATGATTTGCATACAAAGCAGAGCTTGCAACATGATAGCTATTCATAAGTCGTTTTTTGTTTGTTTACTTTTCAAATAATACAGTAGTCACACAATGAATATAATAAGGCAGTTCATATTTCAGTGAATCAATCATTAATGTTTGACATACACCTGTACAAAATACTTGGACAAAAGCCAGCTAAGATTTTCTGGTCTTTTGAATGATTTATGAATCCATTCACGTCTAAATGCAACATTTTATTCTGAGATGAGGCAATGTTTTTGTAAGATATTTACATCTATCAAGGAAATTCGGTAAACTGCTTTCCCACTGTTGTATTCAAAATTAATTATGACAATGCATATTCATATTGAAATAAACTATGATGAAAGGAATAATATTATATAACAAAGGGCAAGGTCACCAGAGTTCAACTATGTTTTTTACTGGGTGTGATTAATTGTGTGCGTTATTCCAGTTTACATTGGTATGCACTCGCGCGCGCGTGCTTGTGTGCGTGCGCGTATTGGGGGGGGGAGTAGGATTAGGAAAATGTACATCATAATGTTTATTTATGTTAGTGCGTTCAACTTAATTCCTTCGACGATTTTAGAGCATTATGTTACTTGATACATCTCCCCGGTCAGAAGCCACGTCGAATATTGTTCTTCCATCTGGTTGATCCCATCAAACATATATTTTCCAGAATCTAGAGCGAGGCCAGATACAATTTGTATAATATCTCAGTGCTGCAATATAATAACCTGTTGTAGAGATTCCGTCTATCACCCTATCACCCATTTTCTTTTAGGGACGACGTCAAAAGATCGATGTCGGATAAAAACTTAATTCTTTTAGTTTTTTTTCAAACCCACCCCGCTGAAACTTAATTGATAAATATTGGTCATGGCGTCAGACTACATTCATCATTAAATTCAAATTGATAATCGGACAGTAGTATGGCATAGCAGTTGGTTGTCGGGTGGGTGTAAAAAGACTTTACAAATGCACCTCATTTGACGCACATATTTACACTCGGACCAAACCATTTTCTCGTCTTTGGTGTGTTTTTTTTTTTTCATTTTCTGTTATTTCTGTCCATGATTGGATAGAAAAAAAAAACGAGCTACAAATACTCCAAGATTTTTTTGACTTCATTAAAAAATAAAATCGTTTTTGTAAGATGGAAACTTTTTGAGGTCACCCCCCACCCCCAAACTAAAGCAATTAAGTGTTTTATCCGACATCGATCTTTTGGCGTCATCCCTTATATTATACCAGACGTGCTGGTACCATGACAAATCAAGATTAACTTACTGAAACAACCAAAACTGTTCTATGCACGTACAATGCATTAGTGGGGATTGATCACTAATATTTTACATTTAAAATAGTATTATTACTGTGTTCATAATAAAGAAAATAGCGAATGTAAATTGAAGCAGAGAGTATTTTCTAGTTAACTGCTTACGAAATCCAAAATCATTTCGAAAACAAGGTCGGAGTGTCCTAGCTGTTTAAAACCCAACTCCCTTGAAAGAACTGCTTTGGTAACCCTGAAATCAAATCATTATGGCTAGCATTTTCAGACATAGTTTTCAATTCCAGTGATACAATTTGTGACAATTTCGTCAGTAATCACATATAACTTACGAGGGGTGTCTAGTCTGTTGAAACGACCCATTGCATCGCGTAGGACCCGAGGAGCTATTAAGTTGTCGACCGCGCTTCTCTCGCTATTTTATTTACCCAGTGAACTGAACTGAACGCTCTTGTGTGTTTTCATCCTGACGACCAGGCATCACTCGCGAATGAAAGCATGGCTAGTACGCCCCTCGGTATCATAGTTGCAAGCAGGGAACAATAGCAGCCATTAGTCCCGTCGTTAAAATAAATTGTCCCTAATGTCCCTTCAGTTAAAGCGGCATTGTTCAATTAGTCTGAGCCTCGTCGCACTGGATATTCGCTACTTTTGTCTGGAAAGACTGCTAAGATTGTTCACATTAACCATTACATTTACTACAACGGTCCTACTTTTGTCGCTATGGCAACTATTCAGATTAGTATCGGGATATATTTATCAGTTAAAAAACGGCTCGGTCACTGACGGACGGCAGAGACGGAAACTTAGTTGCCTTCCCATGCGGAATTATGGTTGGGTATCCAGGATATTCAATTGTATATATTTGCATACATCTAGGGTCTGTATTTAACAAAAATACGAGATTGGTCTGTGCGTTAATCGAAGGCACATTCCGACGAGGGTACTGCTCTGTCGATGATAAACGCAGGTGCAATAGCAGTTTACAATAACAATGAAGGCAAAGATGAAAATGTTTAAAACACAGTTGATATGTTAGCTTAACTTCCTTTTCCTCTAATGCTAGTCTCTTTTTTTCATTTTCATGAACGACGTGAATATCACGATGTTTACCGTACCGTATCAGCAGTCAATATTTCACACACAACGTCACAATACCATTATTTTCCTTGTATTCTTTTTCTTGGCAGATATTGTAAAGGCGTGCGAAACATTCAAACAGGAGGGTGTGGTGACTATAAGCAGCGAGGTCGTTGACTTTTCTGCGAGTCCCGACGGTGAATTGGCTTATTGTATCGTGAATTTGAAATCGAAGAAAGCTGATGGAAGTGAGGCAAAGTCATTCAGCAACCTCCTTATCTGGAAGAAAGTAAACGGTGTTTACCTTGCCCACGTTGATATGTCTAACTAGGCCAGCGATGAGCATTGCTTCGAATGCGTATTATCCAATACTGTGTTACCTCAGTATATTATTAATGGATAACATGCTAATATGAAAATCAATAAAAAGATATTATGCTGATATAAAACTACACATGTCCCGTGTACTTTTATGAAAATTTCGCGTAATATTTAAATATACGTAAGTCGGTCAAATTACGTATCCGTGGCGGTATCTGCCAGTGTAGTCACGTGACACATCCCCAGGGTATGTTTATATACACGTATTCCTCACTGGCGATTACACTTTATTGTGTGAAATATGAAAAGCTGTTTAAATAAATCCCGTAAATGCCATGGACGGCATGCACACAAATAACTTACATAGTAACAACGTTGTCATATTAAAAACAACCCTGGAAAACCCAGTAAAGATATGATCTATGATTTCCAATCATGTGATACACTCAGAAACTTAATTTCGTAGATAATTGTTTTAGTTGCAATTAAGTTGTAATTGTAAATTTGTAATTGCTATGCACGACGACTGGTCACTGTTGTTGATATATAATTGTCACAACAACGAAAGCAGCATGGAATTACCAGTTCCCTTGTTCGCTAGCACAAATGTGTGATTTTGTATCACAAGACTGGAAATATAACCATAGTTATTATACATACAATTAGAGCTGTAATAATAATACAGATTTCACATTCTATTATAGTGTTACAAATACCAGACGTATGCGCGCGAAGGACTCCGAATCAGGGTGTTTTTCGATTCGCTTGAATCGCCGCCTGTACGTTACGTCACTGTCAGGTGACACTATAAAATCAAGCGTTCTTTCAGTCATATGTCGTTTACCTATATGATGTTATATTTTGCAAGCTGTTACAAAAGTAATACAAATATTTTATATATATAATCTCCACTTTATTCCTACAGTCCTGGGAAGTTGCGTCCTATAACCTTCGGCTTTATATAGGTTATCTTTTTTTGTGCCACGCAACAGTTTTTTTTTTGTATGTGCAAATTGCAAGTGCTAGTGCTGACACATAGTGCATTTTTGCCACAGAAGTCATATTCATGTTTGGGACTACATGACAGGGCTGTGCGGCCATCTTCTCGGCCAGTGGAATTGGCCTTCCCATTGAATCTGTGGCACTCTCTCCCGGGGTAAGGGTTGATGTTCAGCCTAAGGTAGGATTTGAACTTGGGTCTACCGATCACGAGTCTGATGCGACATCCACTATGCTAGCAGTGATTAAGTGAGTGGTTCAATCCATCACGCGCGATCAATGCATGTTTAGTGTCTAACATGTCTCCGATTTGCATCTCTCATCCAGGGTTGCAAACGTTTACAATGCACCCTGTCGTTAATATAGGGCAATGTCACCCAACGTCGGAACACGTATACAAACAATATGTTATTGATAAGTTGGAGGACAAACAAACGAAGACGTACACCGACTAAGTTTTTTTGGGGTATATACATATTGTAACAGACACATGACATGATATAATTATCTGAATTATCTAAACGCGTGACTCTTTTTACATTGACAATTATGGAATACATATCAATCCGAATCTGAAAACAAACGAGCCAAGATGCACGAGCTTCACTTGTATTTAGTACAGTACACGTCGATAGCTGTTTTCACTCCCAGACAAGTTTCGTCAAATTCACCATTTTATAACACCCGAAAATCAATATTGATACAAATCTAAGTGTACGCAAACACTATACTAAACGGTTGAAATACTATTGAGACATGTTGTTCTTCGTGCAAAACGTGTAGAAAACACTACGGGGAAGAGGGGTGGTGTGAGGACGTAGCCCGAGACAGCTTTCCGTGAAGTTAGAGCTTTTAATTTGAAGCTTCAGGCAATATAATTTACCATTCATTCTTATATTTCTACCATATGTTGACCAATCAGAAGTCAGGACTACACCTGCTTTACGTTTTCTCTGCGTAATATAACGTTTATGTCAACTGCTTCACATTTACAGTGGGTAAAATATGGCGAGTAAAACCATGGTGTGTCTCTCGTTAATCTGAGAAATTAAGGATATTCTCGGGGAATGTATTGTAATATAACTCTTTCGGACATTAGACAATGCAATTGTTGTGTCGTGGTTAGCAAAACTTATTTTAAGATGTCGCGCTTAATAACTATTTATAAATTAATGACAATTTTCTCTCGTCGTCACGTCCTCTGTTTGAATAGAATTGTTACATATATCAAGGGGAACAGTGCACGTGATGACAAGAGAAAACAGGAATATATTTTACGGACAAAACCAAGTCCCGCGGTTCTCGCGTTCTCAACGAGATCTCGGCGGACACTAGCCTCTGAGGATCAAAGGTCACATGATTTGGAAGACACTTTATATTTCTGTATGATTTTTCCATTTTAAATTGACCGGGGAACAAAATATTTATCATCATATATCTGTTAAAAACCAGAAGTTTGTAATTATAATGAAAATAAATTATACACAATAACTTGATTTTGTTTGGTAAATAGCGCCAGCTAGTGTTGACAATTACAACATTCATATTTAAAAAAAAATTTTTAGTGACCCTCAATTTTCGGTATCTAGACATTGACATTAACCCGTTGACATTAACCTGTTTCATGTGGTTTATCACAGAGATCTGTCCGTGGCCCCACATTTTTTATACTTTACATTAACAATTTTCCAAATTTACCAACTTTGCTGATGGTCTCCCATGCAAGTACTTGCCACTCTCGGTGACGGAAGGTTAACATTCTACCCTCGCCAATCACAACATTTTTCTGCTGTGTGGGTCTGATGCATTTGTTGCTGATTTCAACATTTCAATGTTTGGGTATATTTCAAAATTTATGTTGATTGCTCTTGTATGTTTTCGATTTGACATTCTTTCACTCGTAATTTCATATCGAACGTTTAACTGCGGTGTTCGATATGAAATTACTTAGGGAACATTTGCAATTGAATTTACCAACTTTGCAATCGTTGTTCGCAACTTAGTATGCTATTTCCAAACGGTGTACTTTGGGCCGTATGATAGTCTGTTTAAACATAACAGGCTTTCACTCGAATTTTGATTATTTTTTCCAACATTTAACTGCGGGATTTGGTAAAACAACCACTCAGGTCAAAGATACAAACAAATTTACCAACTTTTCAATCCCTTTTTACAACTTTGTACGACCTTCTTAAATGACTAGCACCACAACTGCCAGGTACAATCAACAATAATTAATTGAAATTGCGTGTAAAATTTCAAATTTGTATGAACATTAATAACAATAATTAATTACAATATTCTATAAAAAATGTTCGACACCTCAGCCACATATTAAATTGAGATATGTAATATAATACAAAAACTTCAAGTTTCCAAGAAAATCTAGAAACTTTGCAATCGCTTTACACAACTTCTATGACCGTCTGTTTGTGTATTTTGGGCATTCTTGCACTCGAATGATGCTTATCATTTGCAACCATTTAACTACGTGTTCGATATGAAATTACTTAGGAAACATTTGCAATCAAATTTACCAACTTTTCAATTATTGTTCGCAACTCCGTATGCTATTTCCTAACGGTATACGTTAAGGTCGTTTGATAGTCTCCTAAAACATAACGGGCTTAAACTCAGTTTCACTCGACGTTTGATTATTTTTTTCTAATTTTTAACCGCGTGACAGATGATCAAATCCAGTTGATTAGGGTGATACAGCAGCATTTATATCAATTTAGCCCGACAAACAACTATCCTGACAATGTCATGCTCAACAACTGTTAATTACTGAAACGTCTCTGACTTTACTGCATTGTTCTCGACGTTTTTCATTGTTTTTCATCAACTCTTCTACTTGATGGAAGATGATTTTATTTATTAGTTTGATTTAGTATTGATAAATTATTTCTTATATTATGTATATAATATTGTTAAATTAAGAAGGTGGCATATTTATGTCAGAACAGGTGTTATCAGCTATTTCATATTCCGGTTACCATTTTTTATAAAATTAGATTACATCTAATAGTTATTTATTTTATATGGTCTTCAAACTTCAATTATATATCTTAGTACAGTAAAACCTGTCAAAACCGACCCCTGGATAAACCGACCTACTGTCAGAACCGACCGATTTATGTAGCCCCGAAATTTCTCCATAGACGCCTATGTTAAAACAACCTGTGAAATCCGACCACTGTTTACTCCGAACACCGACCGCATTGATCGGTCCCAAGTCCAATATTCACACTGAATACATCGACCATCCGACCAGTTGCACCACATCCGCTGTCTAGTAATTCGGTCTGCCCGACCTAAAAAGTATGCATTGTGTCCAAATTCCGCAAACGTCACAGAAACAATACCAAATCTCACACTACAAGTAACGTCCCGTGTAAAACAATGGCAACTGATTACATTTTTCACACCACACGCCCACGCATCGCGTGGTGTCTGGACAGTATAATGACCCCGGATATAAACAAATGATCACCTTCAATTGCGGTGAAGCACACTGCATTATCACTTTTTCAACGCTCAAAAGACATTGAGTTTTCTTCTTTCCATAACGATTCTGATCGACAATTTTGTG